TTGTGCATAGATTTTTCCTCACAGCATTGTGAGAGGAATAGGATATGCGTACTTTTATGCAAGACCTTGGCCAGGCACTCTTCCTTCTTCGTGCTACACAGAGCAGGTGTGGAATAATTATCGTTTGCTGGTCACGTGTGTGCATTTTTCTGGTCCCTATTATTCTTCTCTGCTTTCCCACATAATCTGACTCCAGGAAAAAAAAAAAAGGGAGCGTTTTGAATTTGGGATGAGGAATTTGCGTCTCACAGAGGAAAACACACACGTCGACGTTTTGAAAAAGAATAAGAAAATAATTTAATTGTTGAGGATATAAAGCTGCTTTTTGTACATGCCAATGCAGAGCCTAGCGTAGAGAGATTACTTAAAAAAAAAATTCGTTTCATTTCGAAATTTTTTTTTCTTCGTGTGTGTGTTTTTTTTTTACTGTTTATGTGTTTACTATTAGCTGCAATCTCATCGATTGTAATTTTGTTGACTGAATCTCAGTAATCCATACATCTCGATGCAAGTTTTAAGCACCTTTCGTCGTTTCTTGGAGTTCTTTAGTTCTGAGCAAAGGCTATAGAAGGTCACACTTTAAGGAAAACATGAAGATCTGAATGAAATGTAATAATATTTTCGGGATTTTAGTGAGCATTTCTTTGCAAGTGTCTGAGTATTCTGGAAGTGAAAAAAACTGAGTTGTATTTGCGCTGTAAGTCATTTCATCAGTTGATTGAACAATTGATCCCCTACGAAATCTATCTGAATTCACTCAGGCGCGCAACAAAGACGTTGATGTAAGGTTCGAATTCTTTCAAGACTGAATAATTTTTCTGGACGCAAAATTGAGGAAAGGAGTTGAATACTTTATCCGCGATATTGAATGTGCTGTGTTTTACCAGATGTGGACAAGCAGGATGTTCTTTGTGGCCTTGAGGCGTAAAAAAAAAATGTTCAAAGACGCACATTTCCATTTTATTGTACTTTCAAAATCTGGAGCATGCTATTCGAGAAAATGTTTCATTTATGAAATAATTGGTAGCTCTAAAACTACTCTGAAATGCATGAACCATTATAGTATGAGTTATGAGGTACATTTTTGTACTAGGCTCTGTAAATTGTCTTTGGATTTCATCTTTCCTGAGAAGTTCTCAGGAAATCGTGGAATATGTTTCAAGGGGAAAAAACTTGAAAATTCTCTTCACATTTTTTTCAAATTGAGGTGCGGACAAAAAATCTTCCAGTTCACGCCTTTTAATTGTTATTGGCGAGAAAGCTTTGTGGTTCATTAGGCGAGTTCCGGTTCGTGATGCGTATCATTTATGACCGTAAGTATGCAAATGTGTTCGTGTGCTATGCGAGTATACCGACTGATGGTTGATGATACCGCGCTCATGATTCGAATTCAACAAGTGCTTTAGTTCCTGAAATGTTTAGTACCGTATTTCTTGAATCATGCGGCCTTGTAATAGGATGAGCCCCGTGTTCATCACTTTTTCCGTGATATGTTCTGATGGAGTTCCACCTTGAATTATTCTCCCAACGATTCGCATTTACTTCAGCTGTTTACGATTTCGCAAAACACTGTCGTCTTCCTTCGTAGCATTAAATCAGACAGCAATGCATAAGTTTACGGTTTTCTATTTTATTTTTATAAATGCAATCCAAAAATCGGATATTGCTTAGTCAGTGATAGGGAAATGGTGATAATGTAAAACCGATTTAATTTTTTGGAGAAACACTTCCATTTAAAAAAAACACTTCAGCCGGAGTTGCCCACACAGAATTTTATTTATTATTTATTTCAATCGACACCTAAACTGATAAAACTTCTGAAAAATTCCTGATGAAGATCACCATATACCGGATATACTCTATGAAACTTATTTGGGAATCATCTGGGGAGAAGTTATGACATTTCCCACAGGATTCAAAATGTTCAATGAATTTTTTTTTCGTCTCAAACTTCGGACGAGTGGTCCAGGAAGGTGAAACCGACTGAATATTCTGAAGAAACAATTCCATATAAAAATAAAATAAAACTTTTGCCTGATTGCTAGACAAAGGGACGAATTTCAGTCAAAACTTGAACTGATAAACCCAAGGAAAATTTCTGTTCGAGATCGCCACACTGGGTAAACTCAATGAAACAAACCCGGGAATCATCAGGAGAGGAGTTATGACAGTCCTCGTTGGATTCAAAATATTGCTATTCTTGTAATTTTATTGTTCGTTTCTCATCTCAAACTTTGGACGAGTGGTCCAGGAGGATGAAACTGACTGAATATTCCTGGGGAAACACTTCCGTATTAAAAATAAAACAGTTTTAGCCGTGTTGCATCCCAAAGAATCACATTTGTAAATTCCATACAAAAATAAAATAAAATAATCAAATTTCAATCGAAACATAAACTGATTAAGCCCAAGAAAAAAAATTCATGTTGGAGATCACCTCAATATGCTCAATAAAAAAAAATACGCGGCAATCATCAGGAGAGAAGTTATGACAGTACCGTCCGGTTCCAAAATTTTGTAATGAATTTATTTTTTTCTCGCGTGTCTCAAACTTTGGACGAGTGGTCCAGGAAGGCGATGAGGAGCGGGATGTTGAAGACCTGGGTGTCCTCGTGTTCACGGGCTGTTCGCCTTGCCCCAGAAACAGTTTTGAAGACTGACATGGCCTCCTCTGTGGCTTCTTCGAGTGTCGATTGCACCGAGTATTGCAGAGTGAGAGCCAGGGATTGCACAGCGCGTCGCACGTGTACCGCCTGCACTGCTGCCTCACCCTTTTCCTCCAGCAGTTTCAGGACCCATGCAGCCTTGTCCAGCAGCAAATCTGCTCCATCTGAGTCGAACAAATGAAGAAGACTACCGTAAATTATTAATACAGTATTACTGTATTTACTTGACTACCACGCGCACCTTTTTTCCCAAATTTCAGAAGAAAAAAAGGGGTGCACGTCTTAAGCAGGTACAAAATTTTCAAGAAGTTTCAGGAAGTTATGTGTGCATTATACTTCATTATTATGGAGAAATTTGGAACAAATATAACAAGAAAACATTTTTGTACTGAAAAAGTTGAAAATTGATCAGTTTTTTGTTCAATTCAAGCCTGAAGTCAAATTTTTTGTTTTTATTCTTGAAATTTTATGGTTTTAGATTCACTAAAATTGGGGTGGGCGTCTTACTTGGGGATAAGATTTTTGCAAAATTTTCAGCTGAAAAACCCCTGTGCGCACCTTACTCAAGGGCGCATGGTACTTGAGTAAATAAGGTATGTGCATTCCGCTAAAATATTATGAATATTGAGGTAAGACCCCCGCACATGCGGACACCTCGACCTGCCGACAATTTGACACAGGGACACTTATTTTCCCATAAAAAATCAAATAAAAAAGGCCAACATGAGGACACTGACTCAACATACGGACATTTTGTGATGAAGTTGCAAATGCATTTCAGGCCAAATTACAAGAAACAGATATTTCCAACTACCCTAAACTTGATGTAAGGAAAGTTCTTGGGCATTTCTCTCACCAATTCGCCATCCATTTAGCTCATTTAAAAAATTACCTCAAGCATAGAGGGACTTTGTTCTCTCTTTTTCTCTTGAATGTTATTTTTACAGAGAATGCGAACATTTCTATGTACTGTACCGCAGAGGTATCAGTATTCCATTACCAAAATGTCCATATTGTGTTGAAATATATTGATTGAATCAGTTTCATTGTTCAATGGGAGACAATTTTCATTTTCATTGAATTACAGTGAGTATTTTGTTCATAAAACACCAATTAAAAATTATATAATGTAAGTCCAAGGGAAAATGAGACTCGACTTAGGGATATTTCGACTTGGGGATATTTTGACTTAGGGACACTCTTGATGCCCCAATTACGTCCGCATCTCAGGGTCGATCTCTCACTGTATTACTAAATTATTACGATTATTAATATTATTATATTAAATTATTCCCAATTTTTATGATTATTAATATTAAAAAAAAAACGAGGAGATCTCGTATGAATTAGATGTCGGGAAGGGATGAAGTGTTTTAAAGAAAAAAGTCGAGCGTACGGACGCAGATGGCATAAACGAAATCCGTGAAGTCCACGTGGCCGTCGGCGTTGGTGTCGACGGCGCGGAACAACGCCGTCGTCACTTCCGGTGACACGTTGGTGTCCGGCAATGCCCGGAAAGCCCGGCGGAACTGCATCTCGTCCAGGGTGCCGTCTCGTCGACCGCCGCCATCCGTGGCGGCGATGAACGCCCTATGATACGTGTCCAGGGTCTCAATCGGCAGCCCTGTTCGCTTCGCCAACTTTGCGAGGTAATAGGGCTGTGGAAGCTCTTTGACATGATGGCGGCCTCCACTGGGCGCAAGAGACATGCTGGATTCACTGCTGCTGACACGAGCTAACATGGCTGTGCTTCGGCCCTTTTTTACTTTTTGTGATTGATTAATTAATTAATGACTGTTAAAGGTTGCTCACTCTGATCCTTCAGTCCCACTCAGTTATCGTTTTTTTTTCAATTATTGTACTGCATTAGCTTATTTCAAATTCCTTATTTATTATTAATAGGCGATATTCATTATTGAAGTTAAGTGGAAACTCTTTTTTTTTAATGTATGTATGCGTGCCTTTCTTTCACATGTAACCTACGCTTGAACCTAATGCCTTGAACAAACTCAGTGAAATGAAAAAAAAATTGCATGATAGATCTATCTCTTACGAACGTTTCTTGCCTATCCTCGAATATGCTTCGACGGACAGAGAATTTATGCAAATGTTGGTCACATACGAGTTCATAAATGTGGAGGAGATTTCAATTTTGTAAATTTAAATGAACAATGATTGATAGTTACTTGATTGATTTTATCGAGAGTTGATTTTCATACTGCAGAATCATGCGGTATAACGAACGCACGATGGGGTTTAAATCCTGCTTGTGTGGAGGTTATTATACTCGTATAATCTCGAATTAAATGATTTCCCAGGAAAACTACAGCTATGTGCTGTGAAATTACTTCCTATTCCGATTTTTGCGAGTGTGAATGCGTTTCTGGATACTGTACTGTACTTTCCGTGTAGTAATTAAATCAACAGACTTGAAGAAAAATGTTTGACAGAGATACATTTTGACAAGTACTTCGCGTCATATATGAGTAGCTTTAGCTCCACAAACGTTTCGGAAGGCAGATCAAATGTTCACCGAGTTGCGTTTAGCATTGTTTTCATGACAAAAATTGTACCTTCCTAAGAATAAAAAACCTGGTCAATAGATTTAATCGCTCAGATTACCCGTCAGTTGAAAAAAAATCATAGTACTGACTTGTTTAATGTCCTGACGTCATTGCATAGGTTTACAACAGAAGAACGGGACTAATCGAGCTTTTATGGGCCTAATGAGCGAATTTCAGCATGTAACTTTTAAGCACTGCATTTTTTCGTGGCTCTGTTCGTATAGTTCAGTGTTCTAAAAAGTGCTCTAATGGCCAAGCACAGACAGCTAATGAAAAACTTTCGAGTGTATAATACATAATGCGGCAGTACTGTATTTTCGCCGTGGTGTAAAACAGTAGTTGAAACTACGATTTTAATAGATATCATATTTTCAAACCCCCGGGAGCTCAACGATGATTTTATGACATCAGACATGTCAGCACACCAGGCGCTTTAGAGCTATAAAATCTAAAGATCTTATGACATGAAGTGAGTTAAACCAAGTAAGGCTAGTAATGGAGTGAAGATTTACTTCTTAATTAAATCAAAAAATCATTAAAACAAATAAGGCCTTCTTGACGACACACCTGGAAGTGTTGAATTCGCAGACAAATTGAATTCTTGAAATAGTTTTCAAAATCTTTATAGAGATGGTCAGGTTCTACGTCTGGATGATGACGACCATGTTTCCGTGAAAAACGTCGTGATCTTGGTAAATCCCCGAAAGTGATATTTGACGTAAAAGTTGCCTTGAAATTTCTATGTGTGAAACAAAAATTTCCTGCTTCAGGAATGCGTGAAGAAAAATTATTAAACAATTAACGAACACTATTTGTGGTCCCACTGTGGTTTTAAGCATTTTGACTCAGTAACTTCGACGCTCAGATCATTTAATTTCAAGTGCTTGACACGCCTTAACCCCTCTCTCATACTCCTCGTTTTCCAAAGCAGTATCATGGAATTTTTTTTTCTTCTAAAAATTCGAAGTGCACAACGCATCTTTGAAAGCTAAATTATCGATCTTCGAAATATTTTCCAGCGGTCTCCATGAGCAGCATTTTCTCCACTGTGCAAAGATAAAAAAAAAAAAACTGGCAGCCTCTCATTTCTCTCTCGAGGACACATTTTTTTAGGCCCCAAGAACTTTTTCCTTTGATAAATTGGATAAAATCAGTACTCAGGAATTTTTCACCACAAGGAATGGGGAGGCACGAAAACATCATGGTTAGGATTTGGTGTTGATGGTGCAATTGACCACCTGCGCTTCTGCCAACAACCGTTTATGCAATAAATACCTTCTGTCGCTGTCTGCTCATATTTTATGGTAACGATGTCGAAGACGACAGCATATTCGTAATTTTATTCTCCTTTTCAACAACATATGGAAGTGTGCATGAAAAATGTGACTTGCATACCAGTTTTTATGCCGTCGAACAGTAAAGGACTGGGCTGTTGAGTCTGTTTTGAAAACCTACTGTTTTGTTCACTGAACAAAAGAAATCGGGTACTATTTATTAGGGGATGCAGAGCATGTCGACGTCTGCTGCATGAAGGCCGTAATTACTGGGTGAGCAAAGAAAAAAGAAAAAGAAATTAACGCTAATCTCGTTGGAAAATGATGAGCAGTTTGTAGATCAGGTGCGGAACGTCGGCGCTTGTAATGGCCGGGACTTCGTGGAAACCTCAGTTGCCGCCTCGTAGCACTTGTAGCCACTAAATGCGAAAATATATGGCATAATCGAATGTGCGAAATGATTGGGTTGGGACTTTCCTCTTACATATTTATGGCCACTTTCGCGCGCGGATTTCTTCGCAGTTTTCCTGGTGACCGAGGCGCGGTAACGCAATTAAGCTGCGCCCGCGGTCCGAAACTAATCCTCTCAGAGCAATTTGCGAATTGATGCAAGAATCCTGCATTTTGAAATCCTCAATTATTGTGCAAGTTAATTCTGCATTTTTGGATTACAATAAGGGACACTTTTCTCGTAATAATGACTCTGGGAAACTCTGTACTGCGTAGGATCAATTATGGAAGGAAAGTCGAAAAAACCAAAATGAATGCGAAGAAATTCTCTGCTATCTTCCTGGCAGGAATTAACAGCTATTCTTTTTTTTACTCACGACATGC